GGGGGACGGTGGAAGTACACGAATAGAGTGAAGTAGCAGTTAGAGTAGAGGTGTGTGTGGATTAGATAAGAGGGATATATAAAAGAAGGTGATGCACAACACACCAGATAGGGCACGGACCACCCAGCCGCGGCGGCCAGGCGGAGAGCGGGGGCGGCAGGGCCCGGCGGGACGGGGGGAGCGGGCGCCCGCGAGCCCGGCAGATGTCGTCAGGGGAAGCAGAAAGTGGTGGCGAGCGGGCTGGCTCACCCCACGCTGACCCCCGCGGACCCCACCAGGGCGGGCCGACTAGTGCGGCGCCCCCACACCGGGCTACGCCCGACGAGCCCCACGCGACATAGTGGAGTCGACACCCACGCAGGGACCGGGCAGGGCCGGCCGACCCGACAGCCCCAGGGCAAGGCGAACGAGACCGGGCAAGAAGCGTGCGACGAGGGCCCCCCCGGCGACCCGCGGCGAAGCACCGCGCCACCGGAGGAACCCCCCAGGCCGCACACAGAGAGGGACAAGAAACACCAGGCACACAACAGGGCGGGACGAAGGGGGGGAGGTAGACCACCGGGCCGTGACGAGCGAGAGCCGAGTGGCCAGAGGAGCGAGCCCGCCCGGGACCCCGGACCGGCAGACATGATCTGGCAAGGCAATACACCCCGCGCCAGTACTACTAAGCGAGTGGGTGTGGAAGGCGCCGCGGGCGGGGGGGCACCCGACAGAGCACGAGGACACCCCCGCACCGCACCCGGGCCCCCCGCCAGGCGGGGAGAGGGGGGGGAGGGGCGGCGGGAGCGGGGGGCGCAAGCGGGCCGTTTGGGGGAGAGGGTCGCGCACAAGGAGACCGGCGGGAGGAGGAGGGGAGGCGGGGGGGCCGCAGCAGGCAGCAGGTGGAGGGGGCAAGGAAGCAGGCGAGGGGGTCGGCGCGCAGAGCGAGCGGAACCGGGGGAGCCCCGCGCCGGAACCAAAAGCCGCGCGGCCGCCAAGCGCGCAGACAGGAGCCCCGACGCACACCGGGAAGGAGGCCGCCGGACGGGCCGCAGAAGACGGCGGGACCCAAAGGGAGGCGGGCCCAAAGGGGGCGCGCGCAGGAGACGCGCGCGAGCGGCCGACGGCAGAAGACCCGCACGGAGGACCCGCGGGGGCAAAGGCGCGGGGGCCCGCAGGGGGCGGGCCGGAGAAGGGCAGGGGAACGGCGCCGCACCCGCACGGACGCCGGACACGGAGGGCAGCCGCGAAATAACCCGCCGCCGACGGGGCCCAACCCCCCCACACGGCAACCGGCACGCACCCGCAGCACCAGCACTAAACCGGGGCCAGAGACCGGCCGGACACGAGGGAGGGGGCCACCGGAACACCGCGCACGACAGAAGCGCGCAACTGCACGACGCGGCGAACACGCCCGCGCCGACACAGCAGGCCCGACGGACAGGGCGGGGGGGCCAGAGCCCCCAGAGGACACGGAGACGAACACGCACACCCACGCCGCCCACCGCGCCGCGCGTAGCCAAGCGGGAGCGCGCAGGCGCGCTGGCACTGAGTACACCCCGGGCACGGACCCCCAGCACGGCGGGCCGCGAGCGCCAGCGCCACCGCGCGGCGCGGCCCCACACACAGAAGACCAGCGAGGAGGCTAGTAGCCACACACCACACCCAGAGTGAAGAGGAGCCTGAGGCGCACCCAGCGCACACACCACCACCCACATCACGCACTGCCCGCACTCTACATTGGGAGAGGCACATAGATAGCCCCATACACGGGAGTATTAAGGAGAACAGGGAAGACTCGAGGGGTGCCCCACCCAAGAGGGGGGAATGGCCTCATCTATGCGCACTCAGGATGGAGATGCCACTCCGGAAACATATAGTATGTTAGCGACCAGGAAGTTGGATTACGGAGTAAAAAACATATATATAGGATATAGTATATCTCCCCCCCAACACACCAGTTTATAGATACACTGGGCACCACACCACCCACCAGGGCACCACCAGAGTATGATAAGTATTAGATTAAAATATAGATGATAGTTATCCAGGCTGTTGCAGCACTTAGAGGGATCACACACACGATGGGGGGTTACGGATAGTATATATAATGTACACGCTACAGAGAGGTGTTATAGTTAATGTATATAGATGGGAGAGTGGACTGCAGAAGGATAGGCTCAAGACCGGAGAACACCGCTCAACATAGGGACGGATAGGGTGGGTGGTGATATGTTCAACCCGCCACATGTTCACGAAGTAGATGAGCGATAGTCCACACCCACACACCCACGCCACACTCCGCCACTCAACGATGTAGCATAGAGCGAAATAGCCACCAGACCTTTAGAGTAGATATATACTTAGATAGTATAAGTGCGTGGGGAGGAGAGCGCGGTCCCCCCCAACTCACACACTTTTGGGAACCACTGGGCCACCATTTTGGACGGAGTTAGAGAACGCATCGAGGGCAGACAAGGGGGGGATACGGAGATATATTGGTGGGCGTGTGTGGGATATAGATGCCCCTCCACTACCAGATTTTGAGAGAGACCAGAGACATGACGCGTGCTATATAGTGACCCACCGCGCCACACACACACCACACCAACCACACACACAGTGTGTGGTATGATAAGAGTCCCAGCAGGCGGAAGTAGATGAGTGTATATGGGAGAAGAGAGGACTGCTAATAGGGGTATTAGAGCGATAGAATCGAGCAAGAATATATATATCACATAGGAGACACACCACACCAATGTGTGTGTGTGTCGAGAGGGTGTGTGGATGAAGAGACACACCAGGGAATGGAGTGGAGGATGAGAGCGCCACACCACAAGCACACACCACACACCGACACAACCACCACACACACGACAGAACTATACGACACCACACGCACACCCGCCAGAAATGGGAAGAGAGAAGGGCACATCTGCCCCCGTTCCATGTTAGAAGGTAAGAGATATATGCGCTAGAAATGTATCGAAATACACACCGACATAGTGGGATGAGATCCAGGAACCAGAGATGGGGCCATAGAGCACAGACAGGACGGCACACGGGAGAGAGGAGATGCATAAGGATATATGAAGAGTAGTGTGGTGTGGTGGTGGGTAGCCGAACATAGGCAGACGCAGAGAGAGGAAGCACAGAGAAGGGGGGGATGACAGAGATAGAGTAGTACAGAGTAAGTAGAAGATAGATAGATATAGAGAGAGGAGAGAGAGCGGTGGGGGGGTAGAGGAGAAGAGATGATCATGCATAGGCAATATATGAGGCCACCCCGTCATGGAGAGAGACACAGAGGATATACAGAACGCCAGAGTGGTGTGTGGGGATAGATCGACAGAGATCGTGGGTAATATCATGAGAGATAGGAAGGAGAGTATATAGGGAAGGAAGGACCACAGGAGGGAAAAACGAAGGAAGAGGGACAGGGCAGGGCGGGGGCGTGTTTGGCAGGGGGCCTGGCAGTGGGGGGACACTTACGGGTTTGTGGTCATCAATAGGAGAGACAAAGGAGAGGAAGCACATAACATAAATGAGACAGGGGACCCATACCGGGGGAGAAACAAGGACAGAGAGGGCAGAGAAGGGGAGGGAGAGGGGGGGAGGCCCCATCAGGCAGGAGACGGAGATAGATATAAGGAAGAGAGAGATAGGGGAGTAATAGAGAGAGGTGGGAGATAGAGAGAGTAGATATTGGGGAGAGAGCGGGGGAGGATAGGGAAGAGAGGGAAGGCAGAGAGTGATAATAGGTAAAGCAGACGAGGGGACCGATCGACACGGAGCAGCCCGACCAGGGCTGCGCCCGCCAAAAGCAACCTGTCGTAGGCCGGGCAGGGACATTGCGGTGTGGCACAGGCCCAGGCGGGGCCAAGACGGCAAGCCACACCCGCGCGCAGGAGTCCAGGGAGGGCCAACATGTGCTGGGAACGACAGGGGCCAGAGCGGGGACGGCGCGGCAGAGCCCAGCAGCCACGCGGGCCCGGGGCGGGCGCACAAGACGCACGCCAGGCGAAGCCCGGAAAGAGGGAGGGGCACCCGGCTCCCCAAGACCGCATCCCCCCCAGCAGGGGCGCCGACCGGTGAGCACGCCGCGGACACGGCGAACGGGGCCCCCCCCCCCAAAGCCAGAGCGCGGACGGAAGGGCGCCCCGCCCCACAAGAGGATAGGGCAGCGGAGGTGGGCCAGGACAAACGGTCCGGGCCCGGGCATACGTCGGTGGGGCCGCCGCGCGCAAACAATACCAGGGGCGGCGGGCGCGCGGGAGCAGGGAAGGTGGGGTGGACGAGCGCAGGCCATCAGGCCGGAGCAAGCGACTCCCGGGGCAGCACCGGCTACCACGCCGCGACAAAAAAAGAGCAGGGACCGGGAACACGAGCAGGACCACCCGCCCCCGGTCACCATCCTGCACCAGGACCCAGCCACCAGGGAGGAGGGGGGGGTGGCACAACACCACCGGAGAAAAGGAGAGGCAGAGAACCGACCTATACGGCGACAGAAGGGGGAGGAGGAGGCGCGAGCCCACCCGCAGGAGACCCAGCAGAGTGCTGGGAGCGCAACGGAGCACGACGAGGAGCGCGGAAGACACGGAGAGGAAGCCGGATGATGTTGGAGCAAAAGGCGGAGGGGGGCGGGGGCGAGGAGGGGGGAAGGAAGAGGAACCGAAATTAAAGGGTGGGGGGGTGCAAGGGGGGGGTGCTCACGGGCGGGAGGGGGCCCAAAGAGCAAGCGCGAGCGAACGGCGCAGCAGAGCAGAAATGGAAACCAGAAAGGAAAACGAGAGGGGCGCACAGGGCACGGGCACGAGGCGCCGCCCTGGACGACAGAAGGGGAAGAGCAAAACTATAGCGCCGGGGGAGACAGACCGGGCGGGGGGGAGAGGGGGGTGGGGGAGGCGCACAGGGGAGGAGAGGGGAGCGCGCGCACACACACGAAGGAAGGGAAGGGCGAAAAAACCGACCGACCCGGGAACCGCCACACCCCACAAAAATCTGAGGTTGTGGGCCGGACAATGAAGAAGGCGAGGGGCGAGCGCCCGGCGAAAACCCGAGATTCCAGGGAGCACGGCCCAAGAGGCGGGGTCGGCCAGGGGGAGGGGGGTAAAGTGCCAAAGGAGAGGGGAGGTGGGGGAGGGCGGAAACTCACGACAGGGGGACAAAAAGGGGCGGAGAGAAGGGGGGAAACGAAGGCGTGTGGAGGGCACGAAGCACGGGAGGGGGGGGTGGGGAGAAGAAGAGGAGAGAAGGCCGACACGGGGAGGGTCCGGTGCGCTTAGGGGGGGGAGGGGAGAAGCGGAGTTGGGCAGGAGGGCGACGGAGGGCCAACGGGAGACAATCATCATCAGACCAGAGGAGCGGGATGGAGAGAGATGGCGATAGCGGAATCGACCGAGCGAAGCAGGGTTGGGTGTGTGGACAGACCCACCACAGCGAACACAGAGGGAGGGCGCGGGGGATGGGGAAGAGGGGGTACTGTATTAAGTGGGAGCTGGACATACCTTGGCGTGGCGGCCCACCGCGGAGCCAGGCGAAGGGAGCGCCAGAAAGGACCCTGCCACGCAGCCGGATCAGCACAAAAGGCGAACAAGGCCGCCCCGGGCCATCCAGGAAAACGGGGACCGGGCGGGGGAGCACGTGGAGCCCGAAGGGGGGGATCGTGCCCACCCGGGGGCGGTGCGTCGGCGCAGACTACCCGGCCCAGAACCCCCGAGGGGCGCGAGAACCCCGGGCAGCACAGAGGGGGGCAAAAGCGCGGCCCACCACAAGAGGCAGCGGGGGGAGCCCACGGGACGACCCGAGCAGGGCGGGAGTGTGGGGCCCAGCCCACCGCTCCCAGGGCACGCCACACCCGCGGGAGAGGGGACACACCCCACGCCCCCACAGGGGAGGGACCGCACCAGCACAGCCCAGAGAGGGACAAGGCGGGGGAAGCCACCGCGCGGGGGCCCCAGAGAGGGCGGGCCGCGCGGCACGAGACCCGGGCCCGACCAGGACTAGGCGCGAAGGAGGCGGGGCCAGAGAAAACCTGCACACACAGGGGGGGAGGGGGGCACCGAGACGAGAGGAGAGAGAGATAAGGATCAGGACAGAGACGGGGATATGAGAGAAAGAGAGGAAGAGAGTAGAGAAGTATAGGAGGATAGAAGAGAGGAGGGAGAAGAAGAAGAGCCGGGAAGAGGAGAGCGCAGAGAAGAATAGGGAACGGAGAGCAAGTAGTAGTGGGAGACAGAGAGGAGGACAGAGGTAGTGTGTGTGTGGATAGACGAGGTAGAGGAGAGGGACACAAACACAGGACCGGGGACACAAAGGAAGAAACGCCACAGAAAACGAATGGAAAGGACGGGATTGCAGGGCGGGGGCGGACGGGGCAAGTGGGCCGGGCAGATAGATATGATAATAGAGAGGAGAATGAATATCTAGATGAGTGTAGAGGTATAATAGAGAAAAAAATAGGGCGAGAGAGAGGAGGGGGAGGACAAAGGGGAGAGGGGGGGGATGCAGGGCACGAGTAGATGTATAGAGATCATAAAATGATAGCACAGAGACTAATAATAGACATATAGATAGATATATTATATATATATCTATATTATCTAGTATAGATATATAATTAGATACATACAATATAGCTGGGGTAGACACTCGATATGAGGAGTACATAGTATGTGTCTATATACATATCCTATATATATAGTATCATATACATATATATATAAATATATTAAAATATATTTTATTAAGGTTGTATTATTATGTATGTGTCTATTCAAATATATTGTGGGTGTGGATATATATTACACATATGTATATGTGTATATATATATATATATATAATATATATATATATAGTCACAGGTTGTATGTGTGGATATTATGTGCACTATTATATTCAATTATATCGTATGTTGTGTGTGAGTGTGCGTGTATGTATATGTACTGTATGTGTGTGTGTGTGTGTGTTTGTGTTGTGTGTGTGTGTGTATTTGTGCGTGTGTCGATATATATATACTCTATATATTTTCAATTAAAAGGTGTGTGTTCTATACATACAGCACCCATCACATATATATATCCTATTATGTGTGTGTGTGTGTATACTTTATATTATATATATATATGATAGCATATATATAATATATATATATATATATATATATAGCATGTACATATACTTATATTTATCTAGAAATATTATATACATTTATATATGTTATATGCATGTGCTATATATATAACTACATAATATAATGTGTGTGTGTGTGTGTATTTTGTGTGGTGTGTGTGTGGTGTGTGGTATACACTATATATGTGTATGTACATATTTGTGTATATATACAAATATATGTTGTGTGCGATTATATATTACACTATTTATATGTTTATATATATTTAGTATAGCTATAATATACCTATTATTTGTATGCCCATAGTAGTGTATATATCCATATCTATATAAAGTTGTGTATGTATAATATGTATGTGTATATATACCATATTTTGTGTGTGTGTGTGTGTGTGTGTGTGTGTGGATATATATACACACAATGTAATATCATATATATATTTATATATGTATATATATATTAATATAACATGTTTTGTATGTGTGGATATATATATGCACTATATATAATTTAAATATATGTCTGAGGTGTGTGTGAGTGTGCGTGTGCGTGTATGTGTGGGTGTGTGTCGATATATATATACTATATATATTTAGATTTAACATGTGTAATGTGTGTGTTCTGTAACATATACACACACACCATATATAATATGTCCTATATATGTGTGGTGCGTGTGTGTATACATGTGTAAATATATCCATATATATAATCATTGCATGTACATAATTATATTATGTAAAATATATACTTATATACATTTATATATGTATAGCATGGTCCATATATATATACATATAAGCTATATATACAAATAATCTGTGTGTGGTTATACACTATATAGGGGTTGTACATATGTATGTGTAAATAACATATATATATATATTATATATCTATATCTATATTAATTTATATGTGTGGTGTGTGTGTGTGTGTGTGTGTTGGGTGTATTGTGTATATTACAAATTGTGTGTGTGTGGGGGGATATATATATATTATACCTATGTAATGTATATATTTTATATATATAAGCTATCATACAAATATATATGTGTGTATACACTATAATATGTAATCTCATATGTATGTGTAATTATACATACATGTGTGTATGTTATATGTATGGGTATATATCAAATATATATGTGTGTGTGTGATATATATATACACACTATGTATATGTATATATATTATATAGTATATATATTAATATCCACAGTTGTATGTGTGGATATCTATGTGCACTATATATTCAAAATATATGTATGAGTGCGGTGTGTGTGCATGTATTGTGGTTTGTGTGTATGTGTGCGTCTGTGTCGATATATATATTTATATTAATTAGAGATTTATATGTTGTTGTGTGTGTTGATATATATAAGACTATATATATGGTATGTGTTATCATATATAATGATATATGTGTGGGTGTGGTGAACGCGACCGAGAGGTTGGAGCACTGCTGTCCCAGATTAGAGCGACACGAATGATATCTTGGACGGGTCAAGGAAAAGGGGTCGTAGCTGCTGGTTTCTTGCTTAAGAATGACACGAACCATCCAAGAGACCCTTGTGTCCCCGCTTAGAGGACGAGGTGGTGGAGCCGGACCCTACGTGGCTTGGCTTTTCTGCCGTGTCTCTCTCCCTCTGTCTGACGACGTGCCCCTTAATATTCACGCGGGCGGATGTTTATTCGTGCGAAAAAAGCAGGCGCATCTGCGTCCGCCTAAGATAGTGCAGCTGCTTGACAAGGCTGAAGTCTGCTACGTATTGTTGACATCGCCTAGGCCCACGCGCACGCTCGTCCTCAATCCGTCGGCCACATTTGAAATACTGCAGTAGCCGGATAGGTACACAGGTTATGATCGGTATCTACAGATGGTTCCATGATCGATGATCGCTAGGGTCGTCGCGTGCAAGGGTAGCACTGTGGCGGGGGCCTTCTTACTGAGGTGGCAACATTCAGTACGATGAGGGTCAATCATCTTCAGAGGCTGAAATATAAGTTTCCCAGGCATGTAAAGGCTGAGGAGAAGTTAATAATACATTTGTCAATCACTTTACTATTGCAAGAAATGAAGCGCAATTAAGAGCAATTTGCACAAGAAGGGTAACATATCAGTGGTGTTAATTACTTTGAATTTGTTAGGATTAGCGAGTTCAGCAGAGTGCCATCATTATTGAAGAGAGACAAAAATATTTGGACAAGATTCCATAGCTTTGGGCTAAATAGGCAGTACTTTAGCTTCGACACAAGGCAGCTGGCTGACCTTATTCTAAAGGTGTGCGTCCTCGGCCTTCAATCGTATGGCGTCCGTATTTCTCGGTGCGGCAGATGCAGGATCCTTCCGGTTCCGGCCATGAGCCGGGCTTAAATTAACAGTTGTTACTAGAAGCATAGCATATGAGAGAAAAAAATAGATAATGTCATAATTCGACAACAATAAACATGAATGATATGATGAGAACAACCGAACATAACACTAATTAATAACTCGAAGGTAATCATTTGTTCCTGAAGAAATTAATATAATACCAACGTGCGATCTGAAGATAAATGATAATAGACAGAAAAATTACTAATAACACAATATATAATTACCGATGGTAGGCCTGGGGAACAAGTGTGAGGTGAGGTGTGTGTCACTTAGGTTGGATCTCGTTTGTTTGTGTTGAAAACACGACATAACGATGAGAAGTTACATAGTATAGAGTTAGTAGTATTGTCATTGAGTGTGTACTTGGAATTTGAAAGAAGTAATTTGTATTTCAAGGTAGGGTTGGTAAGGGGGCTAATAGAGAATCTTGGCACATAATGTTACCCTTATATTAATAGTAACAAGGAGTGTTGGTAGTAATTAATAATAATATATAAATAATTTATGTTGTTCATTCCATTTGTTACAATGTATATTCTCGGTGTGACATATGGTGTTGTTTTTATTTGCTTCTAAATTATCCCTGTTGCAGGATGGCCGGGGTTACCTATTCCACTGTGGCGAGGATTCGAACGCAGTCAGCAAGATTGCTAGAAGAGATCCGCTTGACAGCATGCACCACACAGGTAGGTAGAACTGTGACTTCATGGCTGTGCTTACAGGGTCGAGCTGACTTTGCAGGTAAATGAGCTGTGTTGTCGAGTGGCGATTAAGTGAGGGACCTCGTCAGGAGATTAGCAAAGGTGTGAGTGCAGAAGGAAAAATGTAGGAAGACATGGTGTGGGGTCAGAGTGGGTCGAGTGGGTATATGAATAGCATCAGCGTTGTAAGGTTTCTGATTCCACCCCTGCACCAGAATATGACGGGAACTAGAGGGAGCACCGCTATCACCAACGAAGCAAGAGACAACTGCAGCCACAATATAAGCAAGACGACAGATGGCTTGGTTGGGTCAGTGAAATAATATATATATGTGTGTGTTTGTGTGTGTGCATATATACATTACATTTATTAATATAAATTCTTTATATATATCACATTATTTACATAATATATATTGTACATATGACAACTATATAGATCTTGTATATATATTTATATGTACACTTTATGTATATGTATATTCACTATTTATCATATTGGTGTGTATATAATATCATATGTACACTCATTGTATCTATATGTATATACCTATTTATATACATACACATATATGTATACATATATATATTTTATATATATATACAACTACTGTATAATATACACTATCTTATATTTCTACATTTATTCTATATATATAATATATATATACAAGACATACACACACACAACCACATATACATATAATAATAATTATAATATATATATATAATATAAACATATACATGCACTAATATATATGGTAATATATAGCACTACATATAAATATATATTGT